GTAATTCCGGACTCGTTTGAGCGTAAGTTACTTTCCTGGTACAAAATCACCCTTATCAATCATAATTAATGCATATTCATGTACGTAGTCCTTCCACTAGTGTAAAGGTGTATACGAGGATTTAAATTTTTCAATTCACACGACCAATAACTTTACTATTTCGCTTTTACTACTGTACCCAAGAAACATGAATTTGCATTTTGACAGAAGACTAATTATGCATAGTTTTTGCCCTGTCCGCCCGTCTGTCTGTCTGTCTGTCTGTTTGTCCGCAAAAACTTTAACCTTGCCCATAACTTTTGATTGGTTGGAGCTAAGGCTTTCAATTTTCACATGTGTATTCCTTGTGACAAGACCTTTCTTTGGGTGCCATAAAATTTGACATTTTGACCTTGGAGTTTGACCCACTTTTGCTAATTTTTTTCAGACTTTAACCTTGGCCATAACTTTTGAATAGTTGGTTCTAGGGCTTTCAAACTTCACATGTGTATACTTTGTGACAAGACCTTCCTTTGGATACCAACAACTTTGACCTTTTGACCTTGACCTTGGAGTTTGACCTTCTTTTGAAACAACCTTAGCCTTGGCCTTAACTTTTGAACAGTTGGTGCTAGGGCTTTCATACTTCACATGTGTAATCCTTGTGACAAGACCTTCCTTCGGATACCAACAACTTTGACCTTTTGACCTAGACCTAGGAGTTTGACCTACTTTTGAAAAACTTTAACCTTGGCCATAACTTTAGAACGGATGGTGCTAGGGCTTTCATACTTCACATATGTAATCCTTGTGACAAAGTTTTTCTTTGGATACCAACAACTTTGACCCTTTGACCTTGACCTTGGAGTTTGACCTACTTTTGGAAAACTTTAATCTTGGCTATAACTTTTGAACGGTTGGTGCTAGGACTTTCATATTTCACATGTGTAATTCTTGTGGCAATACCTTCTTTAGGATATCAACAACTTTGACCCTTTGACCCTTTGACCTTGGAGTTTTACCTACTTTTGGAAAACTTTAACCTTGGCTATTAATTTTGAATAGTTGGTGCCAGGGCTTTCATACTTCACATATGCAATCCTTGTGACAAGACCCTTTTTTGGATCCAACAACTTTGACCTTGGAGTTTTACCTACTTTTGGAAAACTTTAACCTTGGTTATAACTTTTGAACAATTGGTGCTTCGGCTTTCATATTTCACCTGTGTATTTCTTGGGAGAAGGCCTTTTCTTGGGCACCATTAATTTTGACCATTTGACCTTTACCTTGATGTTTGACATACTTTTGAAAAAACTTTAACCTTTTCCATATCTATTCAGTGATTGCTGCTAGGTCTTTCATATTTGACAGGTTTATTCCTCGAGACTAGACCTTACTTTGGGTACCAACATATTTGATTTGCATTTGAGAAAGTTTAACCTTTGCTATAAGTTGCCATACGGGGGCATCAGTGTTTCACAAACACATCTTGTTTGCTGTGTTTGTACTTTGGGTATATCTCTTGATATTTTAGACTTACAGATCAAGTTCAAGACCCGTTTTTACATAGGTTATGGCCCTTAGACTTATAAAATGTCTAATACATGTATTTCATTGTTTTCCCTTTTTTTTATTCATTTATTTATTTATTTCTTGGCTATACTTTAATACTATAAGCTGATCTCTGGTATGTCTCTTTGATGTAGATGACTTACAGATCAAGTTCAAGTTGCTGATAAACCCATTTTTACGAAAGTCGTTTTTCCTTTAATATTTAGCTTTGAAAATTGATATATGTAATTGATAATTCACTTTTTTCCGGATTTTGTTTTTGTTATGCTTGTTATTTGGTATGTGTTTCTTGATATACCGGTAGATGACTCACAGATGAAGTTCCTGACCCAGTTGTTGAAAAAGCTATGGCCTTTAGAATTTGAAAATTTATGTAATTCACTGTTTTCCGGACTTTTTTGCTGTGCTTGTAGATACAAGTAACGAGTTTTATTAATTTTTTGGGTATGTTTCTTGATAATGATGACTTACCCATCAATGTTAAGTTTCTTGTTGATCGACTCATTTTTACGAAATTTATGGCCCTTTGAATCCACCGGTGTTGAATCATGCAACAAATTCAATTTTTTTAAGAATTGTAATGGTTTTCATCTGTACATCCCTCGAATTTCAGGTGACAAAGCTCATGAAATTAACATTTTTTGTTCCCCTGCATCGGAACTGTTTTTACAACAATCAATTACAGGCCCGTAGGAAGCAATTTCAGTTGGGGGTGGGGGGAGGAGGGGACACAGCTATACATTTTTTACTAAAAAAGGAAAAAAAATCATCAGACGTTTTTATTGAGGGGACACAAGCATATAGTAGTTATGTTTTCTATAGTAATCTATATATTGGCAAAATTATTGGGAGGGGGCACGGCCCCCCGGTTTCTACATGTACGGCCATGAGTTAAGACATTTCAAAGAAATTGAATATATTCAAGTTTGCATACGATGCACAACACAACCATCAAGTCTAACCCACTCTAGGGTAGGACCAAGTTATCCATCATATTTTTTGATAATGTAGGTAATATTTAAACTTATGTGCTTCTCGTTTCTTAAAAACAAGTTTAACATTATTCTGGTCTACATCATCTTTTCCCACTAATTCCTTAAATAAGAGGAATATAGCATCGTATAGCAAAAACTTTTATGCCTTTGAAAGGAATCTTTCTCATTTATCATTTTAAAATAAGTGCTGTTCACAAATTTGCAGTGACAGATATATCACAGTGAAAAATTCACTGTTCAAGAAAGAACTTTATTTTGGACTCTACTTTTCAATTTTTAAGTTGTGTCATATTTTATTTCTCACGATATGTTTTGCGAATCTAATTGTTTAATTGACCAGTGACACTTTTCGGACTCTTGATCTGTTGTTACAAAGAGACAGAGTGCTATGTCTCAAGAACTAATAATCTCTAAAAACGACACTGTGTAATTATCTGTTTTTTTTAAATGTCCAAACATCAAAGCGTCATTGAGTTTACTTAATTAATCCAAACCTGTGAATCTTTCACTCATTTTACTAAATGTCAACACCTGTCATTTATTTACTCATTATGTACATTCTTATAAATAGTCATGTTTAATTTCAATTATTAGTCTGGAATATACGAAGGCCAGTCTCGGCCACGTCCGACTCGTCAGGACTCTGAGTCCGGGGCCACTTCGGCCAGATCCGACTCGATCATTTATAATATGTCTGTTTGTTGATTCATGTAAACTGTTGCCATCGTTGAGACTCATCTAATAAATACGGAATCCTTCATCATTTGTTTTATCTCTGGAATTGCATATTGGTGGACCTTCGGGAATACGGCACACCTATACTTTGTTTTTACCTCACGGCCACACAGCGCCTCTAGTCTACCTATATCTCGTACCCCCCTACGCCAACGTTCCCTCACCCCGTTCGGTCTGCAAACAACGGATGCTGTTCCAGACGAATTCCTAAGTACCGTCCAAATCTACACGGTCACAATTGGTGGATGAATCCTAAGGGTAAAACAACGCCCGGGGCCGCTGCATATATTTTGCAGTGGTCAGATCTCGAACCTCTACAGCAAGCGAGTTCCCCATATTAAACCACTCTGCTCAACGTATCAACGATGGACAACCACAGTGAACAACATTCATTGTCAACACTTTCAGCATCTCTCTTTTGACCACCAGGATACTCAAACCTACGTTTCAGTTAGTGCTTACCGGTGTGTACAAGAACATCAAAGGACAGACTATAAAAGGAAGTAAAATTTCTTTCCAAACACGAGGACGTGTTTTTTCCGGAGCGATGGGAAATTATCACAGTGAAAAATTCACTGTTCAAGAAAGAACTTTATTTTGGACTCTACTTTTCAATTTTTAAGTTGTGTCATATTTTATTTCTCACGATATGTTTTGCGAATCTAATTGTTTAATTGACCAGTGACACTTTTCGGACTCTTGATCTGTTGTTACAAAGAGACAGAGTGCTATGTCTCAAGAACTAATAATCTCTAAAAACGACACTGTGTAATTATCTGTTTTTTTTAAATGTCCAAACATCAAAGCGTCATTGAGTTTACTTAATTAATCCAAACCTGTGAATCTTTCACTCATTTTACTAAATGTCAACACCTGTCATTTATTTACTCATTATGTACATTCTTATAAATAGTCATGTTTAATTTCAATTATTAGTCTGGAATATACGAAGGCCAGTCTCGGCCACGTCCGACTCGTCAGAACTCTGAGTCCGGGGCCACTTCGGCCAGATCCGACTCGATCATTTATAATATGTCTGTTTGTTGATTCATGTAAACTGTTGCCATCGTTGAGACTCATCTAATAAATACGGAATCCTTCATCATTTGTTTTATCTCTGGAATTGCATATTGGTGGACCTTCGGGAATACGGCACATCTATATACTTTGTTTTTACCTCACGGCCACACAGCGCCACTACCTATACCTCGTACCCCCTACGCCAACATTCCCTCACCCCGTTCGTTCTGCAAACAACGGATGCTGTTCCAAACGAATTCCTAAGTGCCGTCTAAATCTACACGGTCACAGATACCTGAAAGCGTTAAAAATTTTAAATACAGTGTATCTATCTCCCCCCCCCACCCACCCACCCACCCACCCCCCCAAAAAAATACACCAAGAATGCACGATTTTTGACTTCTCATGCAGGCAGTACAGCCGAGATTTAAGTACATGTATATCTTTGTTTTACCCCTAAATTCTAGCATTTTGCTGAACATTTTTAACAAATGACAAAATGCTCTCTGCCAAGGCTTTCATTCTTGTTGTTCAAATCACTTGCTATTAAGCGAAATCCAAACAAACTAAGACTTATTTGATTAGTTAATACACGAATCCCAGCTACAGTTAACAAATCAGTACCTATAGCAAATGCAGGGATGATAATTTTGACATTGGCCTATGAAAAAAGTTTACTAATGTATTGAAAAGAAAACATATAGGTATGGATACAATTTAATATACTTAATACATCATTATAACATTTGTGTCTGCACCACACTATTGCAGTGAGCAAGCAACAAAAAGGTTTGAAAATCTGGCACAATAATAATTTGCAGCTAAGTTTAACAAATTGTCCTAAATGATGAACAGTAAATAGTTTCCATTATGCGACAGAAGCAAAGGGGAATAAGTCAACTATTTCATACAAGTATCACAATAAAAATATATTCTGGAAGCACAATTTACATGTAGTAGAATGCAAGACATGTACTTTATATAAAAATCAAATAAGAGGTAACTATTACAAGTTTCTTTCTGTTTAACCATACATCTACAATAACATGTTTCATAATTCGGACTAGTTAAAACAAATAATTTGTTTTAATTAGTACAGTCACAGGGTTAACTGGTATTTGACATTTTGTCTTTATTGATAAAAAAAATCCATACCTTATTATAGTATAGAATTTTTTTTTATCAATGAAAAGAAATATTTAAAACATAAAGTGTCTGTGACAGGTTTATATTTCCTAACAATTTTTTTTAGCTGCACTGGGCTACACACAACATTCCGGCATGACCACATATATGGGCCAAACAATAATAATATAAACCCAATTCCTAGGGAGGTAAATCGGAGGCTATACATGTAACTATAAAAACCAATCACAAGATTATACATGTAGCTAATAACCATTCACAAAGTTATACATGTAGCTCATAACAATTCAAAAAACATTTGTAGGCTAGCAATACTAGTATTTCATTTTCTGCCTAACAGAGTATATTGTTTGGAACGTATTAGTATTTTTGATTCATACATGTAGCACAGAAAACAAAAGAAAAAAAAACTTTCAATTGGCCTAAATGTTAACCTCAGTTAAGAGATAGTTTATACCAAACCAAGTTAAGGGAATTTTACATCCAACCGATAATTAATGTAACACAAATGTGAATTTTTGCATGAAGTAAGCATGCTTCTTCATAATTTTGATTAAATTTTTGAATTTTTGGGTTAACTTATTCATCACTGTTTCCACAGTAAGAATTGCTATTGGCACCACTTGGGCTGAATATTGTGGGCTTGTTAACCTAATAACATTAATCTGGGTTAACTTCTTCCAATGTGAATATTCAAACTATCCATAAAATATAAAAATAAATTCTATTTCCCCCACCCCCATCCCTTTCTCCCAAAAGGCAGTCATTCTGTACACACTTACAGTGTTATTTACTCCTTTTTCCTAAATACCCGGGGAAAAAATCAAATCTTCACCAAATACATACACTTATGTAAAAGAGCACACAATCATATACTCAAATGCATCACCAAGAGCTGTAAAATTAAAGAAAATTTTAAAAACTTTACACTGAACATTTCTCAACAAGAAATAAACATTATAAAAATTTTTAGCAGCTGAATAAATTTCAGTGTAACTAATGCCGATATTTTCTGTGACTACTGTTACACATTGATTTTATTATGCATGTCTTGCATTATGCTATTAAAGCAGAAAATTGTTTGCAAGATGTCTTAAGATGAAATATTAATACTGGCAAGTAAATTAACAGCAAAAAAAAAAATTTTTTTTAAAAACAAACAAACAAAAATGTTCCAGCAATATTGTAAATATAAATGTCTTCATGGCACAAAAAACAGTATTGAAACCTGAATCAGTAAGAGGTAATCAGTGACTAAGAGTACTAGTCAAATGTCAATCTGAAATCATTCAAGAATCCAATTTAAAGAAAGAAGATGGGTGAACATGACGAGCGATAAGCCTATAGTACGTGTGACAAACATCAAGATGAAAAATTAAATTTCAATTATATCAAAATTTTCCTTGATAATTCGTCCAACATTAAAATGTACTTTGTGTAAAGTCTCTACAATTTGCAAAAATCCCTCAAAGATTGAAATTATTTGCCTATGAAATATTATACACACATTAAAGCGGGCAAAAAGAGTCATTTTTCTCATACTATAGCACTATTTTTCGATATGAGTGGGTCTTTGCTCCACTTTTTTGAAAGTTAATCCTCAAAGTTTGCATAAAGATATACATTTTTTGGTTACCAAAAATATGGAGCAATGACCCACTATACCTTAAAAATATACTTTTATGACATAACATTCGCATCTTTTCGAGAAATACTTGAAGTCCATTAAGTCAAGGGTCATATCACAAACATGATTTAAATGCCACTCTTCATCAGGACTTCTGTAGTCTAGTGGTTAGCGTGCTAGTCTCGAAAGAAAATGATACTCGGGATTTTTATTGCTTGGGTTCGAACCCCACGAATACCACATTATTTTTTAATAAAAGAATAAATTTGAACGAGAAAATTTTCCTCAAAAAAGTGTTGTTAATTATAATTTTATAAAGTTCAATAATGAGAACTTTACTCTAAATACTAAATTCACAAACTGCACGACTTTTATATATCTGAAGCTATAGGCTTTCTGCACGCTATGTTTGCCCATCTCCTTTGAAAAACATGAAGGCTAATTTTTTTTCACTAGTCTGTAATCTTATGATTTTTTTTCATATTAATTCCTTTTATCTTAGACATTTACCAGGGTCATTCAAAAAATATGTAGACAATGTCACTCCTTGTCGTATCAATTTTCAGAAATTCAAGATCAAAACATTATCATACATAAAAAATTTACTTTGTCAATGTGTGCAGTTTCATTCCATTTGATCAAATGGATCTTATCAACATGTTTTTTTCTCAATGGAGCACTCTTGACAACATTTCAATATCAAAACCATAACAGTTTCGCAAAAACATTCCCCTTTACATATAGCCTTTGGCATATTACCCACCCATTGAAAAACGTTTCAACACCAACTGACACATTTTTGCTTATTAATGTTCCAGAAGCATGATTTAGTTTGTCAGTTTTTAATTTTTTCTCTGCTTTCAAGTTTGGCACTAATAAAGCTCCCATCACTTTTCCATGATGTACGTTACTCATTAGACCTATACTGAATATCTGTTCCCTCTCAGGCTGTCTTTAGACCAATACAAAGTATTTTCCAATCAAAAACTGCCACTGCCTTTTAAACACAAATGCATGGATCACTTTTGATATAGTTCCTGCTTACTCCAGCATTTTCAGAGTTTATTTTAGAGTTTATCAGAGTGCAACACAAAACTGTTTTGCTACTCTCTGCTCCGTGATAATTCCTGCAATGTTACTTTTTTCAATGACTACCTGTCTTCTGCAATTGACTTCTGCTCAAGGAAGCAATATATTGCGTTGCAATTTGGCATGTAAAATGAAACTATACTTTATTTCAGCATTTATTAAATTTTATTTTGTTTTAGCTTAGTGAGATAGGACATTATAGACATTTCAAAGTGTATTGTTCGTAAATATTGCTAAATTTTTATTTAATTGCTCTGTCAACCCAATCTTGCAGCTTAATTTTCAAATAATTTTGAAATTTATCATGATATATTTAAAATTTTTAAAATCAAATTATTCAGATTTATCATTAAAATATGTCTACTGAATTTATAATATGACATTTAAAAAGTCATGACAAAAGTGTATGTATTTTTTGAAGTAACCTGAAACTGTTTTAAATATTCCATTCAGTGACCCTTTGTTCATAAGCTTCACAAATTTATACATAATACCTGCACACTTACTACATTACTTCAAAAGAATTCAAAATCTGTAGAATAATGTGAATATTTTTGTGATATCTTTAAACAATTATTTGAAATTTAACACAATGGAACACAGTCACTGGTATTAACGCAGCTTATCATTATTAGATGCCTTCATGATCTGTCATATTTAAAAAATACATTTCTTATTTGAAAGGCAGTAACTTTAGACAAAGTATTTACTATATTCTGTTGTTCTGGCAGTTTCAAAAGCCCATTAGATGTATAGAATGGTATGTACAACCTTCTTAAATTTTGCTGCTGTTTTAAGGATAAAACTGTGTAAAATTTTACAATGTAAGTAACATATAAGGCCAAAAAAGTAAAATTTGGTTATTATCTGCTTTATGAATGCATGTTTTGTACATCTACATGTACAATAAAGTTAAAATAAAACAAACCTTAGATCCTTTTGTGAAAACTTCATCAAGTTTTTTCATTCTATGTGTGGTCCTTTTCCTAGGACATTTTAGCTGTTTGTGATAATTATTGATTGTCACTAAAAATTTATGAAAACGTGAAGCTTACATAAGCTAATCATCAATGAGATCAACTCATTAAGCAATATCAAACTGATCAATCTAAGTATAAAGCATTACACCTCATGTAAAGCAAAAACCTAAATATCACACTTCAAAACATGTCTAGGGAAATTTCTTCCTTCCAAACACAAAGAAAAAGGAAGGAAGTTTGCCTCTAACATTTGAACATTGGCCTGTCTGCCTCTGGATTTGAGTTTAACTCGGCATTTTCTTCGTCCTCATCAATTTCATCTTCTATATCATCATCATCCCCATGCTCTGATGGGGCAGGAGTAGAGCTTCTGGACATTGATGGAGAAGAGGGTTCTGATGCGGGTTTGGGGTACTTGAACTTCTTACTCTGTAGGAACTCTTCCTCCTTGCCAGCAAGATCTGGATACACTCGAGCTATTGCAATCTGGCGAGCCTTCCTGTAGTACTGTAAGAATTAATTAGATAATTAAGCTAGTTAATTAATAAATAAATAATTGATGCAGATTTTGATTTTTTTTTAATTCATTTTTTAATAAGAAAACTTCATGTATAGACCTAATTACACACAAATATATATTCTAAAAACAGCCTAAAAAAATTACATGTATATGTTGTTTTTCCACATCATGGTCACATTAATTTATTCATGCATGACAAATATATGCTAAAAAGTGACAGTCAACATACCACACCAAGGTTTCTCCAGTCCAAGAGATCACTGAGTCGCTCTGTACGATTTCTCTGGATAATACGCTGTCGCCGGGATAAACATGTAAAATCAAACATATTCTGAAACAAGAAATAAATCTGTCAGATTTGCAAATTCTTTGAAAAAAAGTGACAATACAATTATTTAAAGAATAGTGTTTGAATGCATACTTTAAGATATCACATTATCTGATAATAAAGATGCGAGTTTTCAATTTTAACCCGTTGTGTTGCTGAATAGAAAGTCTGATCTTGTACTTAATTGAACAAAAATCTTAAATCTGTATTTTAATTCTCTTCCCCCTCTTTCCATAAATTTTGCCCTAGTATCTTCCACCTTGGAAACATTCCATGAGAATCCATTAGCCATAAATTTAAAACTTCATTGTTGATAGCATTTAACATTAACAGCATAAAATGCTCAAAGAAAGATAAATAAGTAAGGCCATCATTATGTTCCCCAAACGAAGTTTGGGAACATATTGTTTTTACTCGGTTTCTTATTATTAAGGTCTTCCGTTTTCACGGAAGACCTTATAGTGATTCTACTGTTTCTTATTATTATTATTGTTATTCTTATTTTTCCTCCCATATTTTGTGCACGCGTTTTCTCAAAAACTATTCAGTGGTTTTCAGTGATTTTTTCAGGGATAATGGACATTATTATGATCTTTGTGCATTTGAGGAGAAAATTCGAAAAATCTCTTTCGGTTCCAAGTAATGGCCAATTTTCTGATTTTGAATTGGATTTTTGTCTTTCTATCTCCTCTAGAACGGCTAAAGATATGAACGTGAGACATGTCAAAGATGATAGAGCATGACTTGTAGATGTTCTGACCAATTTTTTGTGTGTCGTCGATGCTTCCGGTCACCACCGGAAGCGAATTTCACAAATGGATTTTTTCAACTTTTTTGTTTTTCATTATTTTTCTTTGATATTATTATGGTTAATAGAAACACTTCCAAAAATACTTAATATATAGTTTGTTTTAAATTTGATAAATTCAAACTCTAGATATTTGCATTTTAAAATTTGAAGCGGGGTCAAAATGGCGGCCGTCTCCGTAAACTCCGACGAGCTGGTCGTAGTTTACGGAGACAGCCGAACGTCTTGTTGAACGAAACAAGCATAAGGACCGATGAAATGTACAGGAATTATTGGATTTGGCTGATTTTGGAAATGGATAATAGGTCTTTGAAAACATAAATACTGTGACCTCCAAATGCAATAAAATTAGTAATTTGTACGGTACATAGAATATTATATATGATGATGGAAACCATTCAATGGAACAAACATTTTAAAGAAAAGCGCGAAGATTTGCTCGTGACGTTTGGCGCGAAATAATGTATTATAACACCCCTCCCTTTTCATATAGACAAATGGTCTGATACAGAAGAGCAGATAAAGATAACATGGACATGAAATACATGTATATGGAATTGCATGGAATAAAAAGTTGAATATATATGTATAAGGAATAAAAGAAGTAAACAGTATCATCAGTTCATCAGTAATAGTTTATTTATTCTGCTGACAGTTATTGTTTATTAAACTCAATTAACGAATTCCGATGTTAATCTGCTTGCACAAAATTTGGCTAGCTAGTTCGCATTCTATAAAAAGTTTTATCCTCCTTGACGCTTGTTACTTCAAGCATTGATACAAAGTAAAAATCGATGATGAATGGTAAAATTGCGCTGGTGTAGTAGTTTCCATATTAAATTTCAAAGCAAGCGATCTGGGTTTATTCCGAATTATGTCTGAATTTTCTTTCTCATTTTACCTTTCACGGTAGCTTAGATGGTAGAGCGCTTGCTCCGTGATCGGAAGGTCGTGAGTTCGAATCTCGGCCGCAACAGACCTAAGTCGATAAAAAATAGGTAGCAACTGTTCCTTCGCCATGCGCTCGGCACTTTGAAGTGAAAGTTGCGGGTCCTTCGGATGAGACCTTAAAAACCGAGGTCCCGTGTCACGGCAGGCGTTGGCACGATAAAGATCCCTCACTGCTCAATGGCCCTGAGTGCCGAGTAAAGGTCAAAATTTGAAGCCCTTCACCGGTGTATGGTGACGTCTCTATATGAGTGAAAAATTCTCGAATGGGACGTAAAACAACATACAATCAATCAATCAATCTCTCATTTCTTAGTTTTAATTTATGTTTTCATCTTTAGAAACGATATTGAGTGTTTTCTTCTTTGTGAATTCTGCGCTATTCTCATTTTTTAAAAGAAATCTTAAATATCCTTGCATTTTGAAAGACCCATGTAATATTTTAGGTGTCTTTACTACGAGCATATATAAATATAATTTTACATGCAAAGAATATCACATTGTAAGTTGTCTGAGCAAGATCTCAAACACGGTAAGAGATTAAGACACCAAACTTATATGAGCAACAGACCTTAAGATGTAGACAAAACCATTCGAGTTCAGAGCGTCAGCCGTCTCTTCCGGTCGTCACAGGAAGTGATCAAAGAAATCGAAAATTTCAACTTTTCTTTTTCTAATTAAAAATTACATCACTTTATTGTATCTTTTTCGCAGATTCGAAAGATGCTGGTCCCACCGGAAACAAAAACGACAACTTCCGGTTATAAGAGAAAAACTAAATAATTTGAATATTTTACTTTCCCATAAATATTCTTTATAGATGAAGTATTTAAAATGAATTTTGAATATGTTATTCAGAGTGCAAATGTCTAGTGTAACCTTAAATAGCTTCCAAAAATTCACTTCCGGTCGCGTGTTTTTCTGTCCTCAAAATGAGAAATTTTCTTGAGCGAGATCTTAAAAGCAGGTAAAATATTAAAAGACCAAACTTTTATGAGTAATAGACCTTGAGGAGTAGGCGAAACCATTTGGGTTAAACGAGTCAGTCGTCACTTCCGCTTGTCACAGGAAGTGATCAAAGAAATCACATTGGATTTTCACACTGACGATCAGGGTTAAATCTCCAGTGTCTGAATTTCTTTTATCACTTTTTCAGCTTGAATTTTCGTTTTTATTTTCAGAATCGAACGGAAGACCTCTCATTGCTCGCAATGAGTTTCTAGTTATTATTATTAAGGTCTTCCGACTTCAGCGGAAGACCTTACTGTTATTCTTAGGTTTCTTTTCCACTATTTTTATTATTGTTTTTTTTTCCTACCGATTTTGTGCACGCGAGTTCTCGGAAACGGTTCGCCCGATTTTCATGAAACTTTCAGGTCTGATAGAGAATTAAAAAATCTAGATATATATTTTTTTATTTTGATGACGTCACTTCCGGTCCGGAGATTTTCGAGATTTGGTGATTTTAGAGGGTTAGTTTGTCCGGGCATTTTCAAGAAAAGCACTTAACACAGGAACGTGAGATTTTCAGTGACGATAGAGAAACATATGTAGATTTGTACTTGGAAGTTCATTTTTACCCGAAATACCAAACATCAACGTCCGCTATTGGCCAAATTTTTATCTTCTTTTTCCTACTTGTTAACTTTGATGCCTCATATCTTGCTTATTTCTCAAGGGATTTTAATAAAAATTTCAGAGTTTATAGACGTTACAAAAGTCTATCAGAATAATATAATATTTTTCCAAAATCCACTTCCGCTTTCGAGTTATTTCCCTTTAAGTGAAAAATTAGGGTCTTTAATTTCCAGACAAATATTCCGAGACTACGAAAGTCGGAACATAAATACTACTGAATATAAGAAACAGAAGCAATGAAGTTGTGAACATTGGTTTTTGTTTTTTGATTTCTGCGTTCAAACTGCCGCTAGATAGGGGTCAAAAATTAGGACGCATGAAAGAGCAAAAATTGACACATGTTTTCCTTTGTATCTTTTAAATAAGAAATATTTTATTAAAACATGTAGAATAAAAGTTGTGTACAATTTAATTACCTTTTATTTGACACCACTAAAAAGGAGCTGGCCCCTTAAATTAGGGATCTAGGGCCCTTGAAAGTTTTTGCTTTATAACTCAAAAACGAGAAAATATTTCGATATGGCTGTCCATAAAAAGTTGTTCCTTTATACCTTCTTTGTCTCATGAAAATATTATTTTGTTCGAGTCTTGTGTATGGTAGGGAAAAAAAGCTAGACCCGTAAACAAGGACCCGTTTTCATTTGGCTAGTGAAGAAGAACTCTTTATGCGCATAACTGAAATAAACTTGCCATAAATAATATATCTTTCAACGCTGTATCCTAATTTTTTTTAAATTAGGCTTTAAACGTGCTCTTTGGTTCCTGTTCAGATTATTCGGTGACTACTTTCTCTCTTTATTGTGTTTTAAAATAAAGAACCTTCCAAGAGAGAAAGAGAGAGAAACAGAAAGTACAAGTATCTTTTCTTTGTTCAAATATGAAAGCAAACAGTATGAACGCCAAAAAAATTTTAAGAGTCAAATAATTCACAATCATTAACTGCGTGATTCTTACATTCATCTGAACCCCAGATTCTATTCTGTTTACCGTTACGTAACCCATCCCTCGATCACGCGCGGCCGAGAAGATCTAAAGCGATACACCGCGTGTGATTTTAGCATTGACCCACAGTCGTAAACAAAATAAAAATCGGCGTATTAAGTCTATTTTGTAAACACGACAATTAATGGACAATTATTAATATCGAATATTTGAGATTATGTTGGTTTATCTTTGTTTTTAATTTGATCATGATACATGTAGCCTTAATCCAAAACGTCTAGCCAGGTTTTGTGTTTGTTTACAATTACGCAACCATTAACCATTCCTTCGATCGCTTGTGGTCAAAGCAGTCCATCGTGTGCATGTAAACCACTGCGCAGTCATCAAACATTGTTGTTCTAAATCTAATTTACAAACACAACGACTTACCGGAAAATATTATTTTCTTTATGTAAATCGAATCTTTCAAATAAACTATCTTAATATTTTAGATTTGATTTAAGGATTCAAGCATTTAATCAGTCTTAAATTTTAAATATTCGTTATCTCCATATTTCGATTGTTTTAACGTTACCAACAATTTATTTCCCATCTGCGGTTACTTTAATATAACCATTAAACACACAAGCTTTGCGCTTTCTCTGCGTTTTGAAACAGTAAATTAATC